AATTCTCCTGCCTCTGCCTCCTGAGTAGCTGGGATTACAGGCATGTGCTACGATGCCCAGCTAATTTTGTGTTTTTGGTGGAGACTGGGTTTCTCCATGTTGGTCAGACTGGCCTCAAACCCCTGACCTTAGGTAATCCGCCCGCCTCAGCCTCCCAAAGTGCTGGGATTACAAGTGTGAGCCACCGTGCCTGGCTGATATTTTTATTACATAAAAATGTGACTCTATGCTGGGCACAGTGGCTCTTGCTTGTAATCCCAGCGTTTTGTAAGGCCAAGGCAGGAGGATCGCTTGAGGCCAGGAGTTTGAAACCAGCCTGAGTAACATAGTAAAACCCTGTTTCTACAAAAAATAAAATTAGGTATGGGCGTGGCATATGCCTGTAGTCCCAGCTACTCAGGAGGCTGAGGCAGGAGGATCTCTTGAGCCCATGAGTTGGAAGCTACAGTGGGCCATGATCATGTTTTTATATCCCAGACTGGGTGTCAGAGTGATACCATATCTCAGGACTCCATAGTGTTTTAGACTGGTTACAAATTCTTTTTCCTTTTGGTAGACATGGGTCTTGCTATGTTGCCCAGGCTGGTTTGGAACTCCTGGTTTTGAATGATCCTCCAGCCTCAGCCTCCCTAAGTGTGGGCATTATAATACAGATGTGAGCCACTGATACAGATGTGAGCCACTGTACGTGGGCCTTTTTTTTTTTTTTTAAGTAGAAGAGCATTTACTTGAATTATTATTATTATTTTTGGAGACAGAATCTCTCTCTGTTGCCTAGGTTGGAGTGCAGTGGAATGATCTCACTGCAGCCTTGACCTTCCAGGCCCAAGCAGTTCTTCCATGTAGCCAGGACTACAGACTCATGACCACTATGCCTATCTTATTTTATTTTATTTTATTTATTTGTTTATTTTATTTTTTTTTGCGACAGTGTCTCACTCTGTTGCCCAGGCTGGAGTGCAGTGGCACGATCTTGGTTCACTGCAACCTCTGCCTCCCTGGTTCAAGTGATTCTCCTGCCTCAGTCTCCCAAGTAGCTGGGATTGCAAGTGTGCACCACCATGCCCAGCTAATTTATTTTTTATTTTTTTATTTTTTCAGATTGAGTCTCGCTCTGTTGCCCAGGCTGGAGTGCAGTGGTGCAATCTCAGCTCACTGCAACCTCCACTTCCCAAGTTCAAGCAGTTCTCCTGCCTCAGCCTCCTGAGTAGCTGGGATTACAGGCGCATGCCACCATGCCCAGCTAATTTTTGTATTTTTAGTAGAGACGGGAGTTTCACGTGTTAGCCAGGATGGTCTCGATTTCCTGACCTCGTGATCTGCCTGCCTCGGCCTCCCAAAGTGCTGGGATTACAGGCATAAGCCACCGCGCCCAGCCTAATTTTTGTACTTTTAGTAGAGATGAGATTTCACCATGTTGGCTAGGCTGGTCTCAATCTCCTAGCCTCAGGTGATCTGGCCATCTCGGTCTCCCAAAGTGCTGGGATTATTTTTTTTTTAATGTGTTGTAGAGACATGGTCTCACTAGGTTGTTCAGGGGGGTCTTGACCTCCTGGCCTCAAGGGATCCTCTCATCTCAGCCTCCCAAAATTCTGAAATTATACTTGTGAGCCACCACACCTGGCCCTCAGTCTTTGTTTTAGATTATGGTTCGTTGTTTTTTTCCGGACAGATTACCTACTTCAAGTAGACTTTATATTTGCTTTTGTATTTAATCAAGATTTGTTTAAATAAATTGTTTACATACTATTAAATCCAAATGCTCTTGGACTTTAAGGCTCTATTAGTTTTAGATTTTTTTTGTTTTTTGAGATGGAGTCTCGCTCTGTTGCCAGGCTGCAGTACAGTGGCAGGATCTCGGCTCACTGCAATCTCCAACTCCCTAGTTGAAGTGATTCTCCTGCCTCAGCCTCCCAAGTAGCTGGGGATTGCATGCACGTGTCACCATGTATAGCTAATTTTTGTATTTTTAGTAGAGATGGGGTTTCACCACGTTGGCCAGGATGCTCTTTGATCTCCTGACCTCGTGATCTGCCCGCCTCGGCTTCCGAAAGTGCTGGGATTACAGGCGTGAGCCACCGCACCTGGCCTAGTTTTAGATTTAAATCACTAGTTGATATTGTTCCTTGCAGCTCATCAGTTGAGATAGTAGTTGTGTAGAAAAGTTAATGGGTGTTTGCCACAATCTTCTGTGAGTTGAAGTTAGGATTTGTGACTGTTTCGCTTTCTCAACTAGTATTCTCTTTTCGTTTATATGTAATTAACATTTTACTGTCTGCGGCTTTTCTTTTTTGAGATGGAGTTTCCCTGTTTTTTTTTT